CTGTCCAAGTTTTACAAATGAACAGACACAAATGCAGACTTGACTACTTGGCAGTTGATTAAAGCAGATTTGTCCTTTTTCGTCTCTCAAAGGTTTGGGTCCTGTTCAACACTGGGTACAGAAATATATTCAATATACAGTCATTTGTACGTAAGAATTTTAAGTTGTAAGCACTTAGAAATATACATTTGATTGCATTTAAAGTGACTGTAGACAACTTATCATAATGAAGTAGTTGATTGCACACATTTGTAATGGATGTAGAATAAAGACGACATTAGCATTTAAATTGGCTCCCTATAAGACTCGCTTTCCCTATGAAATTATGTCTGGCTCTGGGTAGTGTTCTCCCTCTCACAATAAAAGCCCCATCACAATACTTTCTGAATCACTGCAGGAAGTATTGTGCTAAAATGCAAATAAAAATAGCTTACAGTAGCTCCCAAGTAGTTGAACAATTGGAAAACCGCAAGAACTGTGGAAACTCCTACTGGCAAAGGATTGTGGAGGCAAATGATGCAAAGAGGAAGAAAAAACATTCTATCTAAAGCTAGATCAGTAAGTAACACAATCTGCATGTTGACAGTATAAGTACAAAAAAACCAGTATGCATGATGTTCAGTAAACGACCAGTCAAAATCGAAGGATCCAATGTGTTTTTAAACGGAGCAGAAACATATCAAGAAAGTATCCAATACCATTAAATTCAACTTGCACAATTTTAAACAAATTAGACCTTTCTTAACTGTCAATGCTGCAAAGTCATACCTCCACTGTATGATTCTATCCCACATTGAATACTGTTTTACAAACTGGTCGTTTGCTTGTGCCACAAACCTGAAACCCATAGAACAGCTGTACAAGAGAGCTATCAAGGTGTTTGACAGAAAGCACCATCCTAGAAAAACACAATTTCTTGAGTTTTGACAATTTTAAGTCTTTTAAAAGTATGTGTTTTATTTATAAATGTTTACATGGACTGGCCCCCCCTCCCTTAGGGGAATTCATCCACAAAAGACACACTGGACGCTGCACTAGGTCAGAAACCAGAGGAGACTGAGGTCCACCGCAGACGGACCACTTTTGGACAAAATGTACTTTCCATTAAAGGCAGCTCATTCTGGAATAGCCTCCCAACTGAGATACGGGACTGTCCCACTCTCAATAGTTTCAACCCTTAGATGCACGAGTGACTGGACCCTACACTCTTCCATAAGTGGGTCTAAAAGGACCCGTATTAGAATAATATGTGTTTTTATGCAATTTTTGCATACACAAAATATGTTATTGATGTCCCCATTCCCAGTTTGTTTGGTAATAATTGCGATGTTTACTATGTTTTGGTAGCTCTTAACAAAACAGAATGCGATTCGATGCTAGCACCATGAATATTATCTGGAAACGCTAGGGGGAACAAAATGTTGTCTGTTTCTGCTTTAACGTTGTGGCTACAAACCTTGTTTTTTTTTAGCAACAAAAGCGAGTCATGGCAACGTGTTGATGTGATTCAAAAAAAGTTCTGGTGAATTTGTTTTCTCTGTACTGTACATTCCACATACTATAAGTGAAGGATTGCGGTGGGAAAAATATTCGATTTGGATCTTAGACCAAATAGCATTGTTCTCATGAGATTTGTATGCAATATCAATACCACACCCACACCAACACACCCTCACATACTACTCACACAGATCAGTGTTTTCCCCCGTTTTGTTGGACTGTTAAGCCTCACCCAGTCTTAGCCTGTACTTTGACTCAAGTGCTTTCCACAATAGACCTGTCACAACTGATTGATTTATATAACGTGTAGCTCCTTTGTCATTGCTACTGTATGTCATTGTTCTAAGTTGTTTTTGTCCTGATCCCAAAATAACTTCTCCTGGCTTCGTGTGGCGCGTGTATACGACTTCCTATCCATTTATGACTCACAGGAAGTCGGATTTACAGCGACAGAAAGAGATAAACACACACACACACACACACACACACACACACACACACACACACACACACACACACACACACACACACACACACACACGTGCGTGCGCACACACACACACACACACACACACACACACACACACACACACACACACACACACACACACACACACACACACACACACTCAATGATTAAGCTTGTCATTCCAAACCAAATTCCAGTCACTGAAGGTCCATGAACCATTGCGCAAAAATTGAATTTAGCCTTTAAATATTTATTCATTCAATTTTAATGAAGATATGAAATCATTAATTCAGTCATCATAGTGGCCTTAGTTCTGATTATGGCACTAGGTAATGATAATTTCCTCTATCTCCTTTCAATCACACCTTTACCCTCTTCATTCACACTTTGGATATCTCTATCGATCTAAATATTTTCAGGGCTCATGTTGTTGGATACGTTTATGGACGGAAGAGAATCAGCTTGTTGGTCCCCCTGGATGGACGGAAACATACTCGATTAAGGCAGAATGTATCATTTGTGTCAAAATGTTATTGGATTGAATATTTTTTCACACAGTTAAAATACCTTTGGGCTGGTGTTGTGGGCCGAAATTCACATATAAACATTGCTGTGAAGTGTTTCCTCAATTAGCCGTATCCACCTCTCACAGATGGCTTTAGCAGATTGATCCAGAGAGAGAGGAACAGAGGATGGAAGATGTTTTTTTGCCCACTGTTTTCAATGACCTCCTGTTTACATAATGTATTTTCCACTATCCTCCCTGTAGACTTGCAACATCTGAACTGCCCATCTGGAGCATTGGCTGGCCCCAGTAGTTAGACAAATATGACAGTCCCTAAAATAGATAGTTTCCTGCAAGGGAGGAGTCAACACGAACCAACTATTTGATCTGTTTTTGTAGCTGGGTTGGTTGAGTCTTTATTGGTCTGAGCTTTAAGTAATGAGACTCTGGTTGCTCATTAAGCAATCAGTAAAAGATTGTTTCTCTTTTGGTGATAAATCTTCTTTGTGAGGTTGGGAAAATACCAACAAGGTTTTAGTAAAAGCAGATTTCCTAACAGACTGGTCAAGATTGTGATGCTTAAGAAGATTTACTCAATACTTAGAAATACTAACTAACTTGGGATGTGCATTTAAGGTCATTAATAATAGTCACACATAAGAACACGATATGAGCAGTCAAAATACTTCTTTATTAAAGGTGAGGTAGGTAACTTTGGAGAAACAAGCTCGAGTGCGCCAGAATTTGAAAATACACAGCCGGAAAAAATCTGCCACTTCCTTACAGAGCCCGTCCTCCAACACACACGAACGCGCACATGACCAATGAGGGCACGAGATAAGTTTGTGCACAGATGGAAGGCTGACAGGCAGGTAGGCCATCCAGTTATTTTAGCCGGGCCGGCTAAAATGATTGGTCGTGCTTTTTACAGTACTACAGCTTCCACAGATGACATTTTTTAATGGATTTTTTGTCAAAGCACTTAAGATATTCATTGCTATCGGGATGTTAAGAGCATTCCATGGAATATAACAAAAAGTGTATCTCGAGCCGGTTTCTCAAACGTACCTACCCCACCTTTAAGGTGAGCTTGTATTCTGTGGCCATATCATCCAAGAGGTGTACAATTATCTAATTAAGGTGAAAAATAGGTATTTGAGTCTTTCTACCAGATGGTTAGTTGTTTAAAACATATTAAAAACACATTTTAACATAAATACAAATCTACCTAGGTTACTTAATGCTATCGGTTGTGCACATTTGCTTCGAATAAACAGCGGGAGATGGAACGACAGCTGAGCGCACATTCATTAACATCACAGCCTACACCTAGCAGGATTAGCTGGAAAGAGTTCTCATAAGAAGAGATGAATAAACACAGAAGAATACATCTTATTTAGCTATACGGTAATTCATTAAGATAATAGAGCACAGACTTTTACCAACTTCTAATTGTTTGTGTCTCAAAATGGTCAAAATATCTAGTTAGGCATTATTAATCATACATTTGACAGAGGATAAAGTTATTTTGCAAATAGGAAATCGTTTATCTGGCATGCTTTTCAATTCAGTATTGAGAGAATGTCTGATCTCTCTCTCAATACTCACAGCTTAAAAAAACGCAGATAATGTTTTATTCATTTTTTTGATATCGGTGTATTTATTTATCCTAACTATCTATATTTAATTTCCCATTTAGTTTGGTGAAGGCGATGGGCCCTAACTCAAAAGAGAATGAATGCAGTAATAGCAAAGACTCCATAATTGAATCCAAGATTAACGTTATAAATAATCTATCATGAATCTTGAATGCATTTATTCATATAAAACAAATCCTAATTTTAAAATGGCAATGGATGTTTTTAAGAAAGGAAAATGTGCAATACATACAGAGCCAAAGCCAAACCCTTACTTTCAAAATCCTCCCATGCATTCTCATTCTGTAGTCTTTACATAGGGTGAAATTCAGGCGATTCCCATGAGAGACATTGTGATATGATAATCATGCAATATCCTCTGCTGGATTATTTTCCAGCCACGCAGTGAGCCGCCTCCAGTGGTTTATGTTCTCTGTTATATGTTAATACAGGCATGGGGAGGGAGGCGTTTTCAGAGAGATTACAAGATCAATCACACACAAGAATACCCGTACACAAACGCACATTATTGGACATGTGTGTGCAACCAATACATAATGTATCCGCCGACAACTAGTTACCCTCTGCGCAATAACATGCTGAGCAGTCATTATAATTTCATGTTGCATCTCCAATGAATCACGTAACTTGATTGATAGTAAGTCCACTGATTGGCTTTGCAGTCAACAATGATGGGGAATAACTGCCCTATGATATGCATGAGCACACCGATATTTATTCAATATTTCATCCAATGTTGAAACATACTGTAGTCGGGTTTTTGTTGTCAAAAGTACGTCAGCAAGTGACTGGCAGACTCACTGCATAACTGCGGAGGAATGACACTCATGTCTCTCTATCATGTTACATTGACAACACTTCCTGACACTTTTTTGCTGACAGAATTCAGTTTAATTGGATCCACAGACATATGAGACACAACAATTTGGCTTTTATATAAAACTTTTGACATTTTTTTGCTTTGGACCCCGTCCTGACAATTGCAACATGGAAAGTAAAGGACAAGTACAATCATGTTTGTGTCTTTCTCAACGTAATAATTCATGTTTATTCTTTTCTGTCACCTGGACTGCAAGCGAAAGCACAGAACAACAACACATCCCTCCACCAACACGTCCTTGACGTTATAATACCGGTATTAACTTTTATTAAAGTTAGTTTAATATGTACAGTTCTCTCTCTTACACTTCAATTGAGTGCTTGTTTACTATCTTTGTGAAAATCCTTGTTGGTTTTCAGTGTTTGATTCGGTGAACTTCAAAAATGGATAATACCAAGAATTAAATCCAGATCCGATTCCACATTTTCAAGTGAGTCATGTGTTGTTAATGTGGATTTTGAAATGGAGAACCTTTTTTTATTGTAATAGGACTATTTTCCATTGTGTAAAAAAGCACTTCATGTTCTGTTTGCCTCCATTTGACAGAACACTGTTTGACTGAAAAGCAGGTTCTGGTGGCATGTTTTTTAATTACATATATACACTTACATATCACCCATAATTCTCCATAGTCCTTATACATTCAGCCACAAAACTCAGTTTAAAAAGAAAGAAAAGGGGTTATTATAAACAAAGAAGGGAGGACAGGAATGTGCACGAAGGATGCCTGCTTTACCCAATTGATGTAAATGTATTATTATTTTCTTGTTTAGCATGGTCATTTAAAACCAGAATAACTTAAACATTCAAGTCTCTCTAAAGATCAAAGCAACTTCTTCCTCAACACATCAATAGTCGGTAATAGTTCTGTCCTCATCCTGTTACAAACAAGACATCACGAGTCATGCATGTTGAAGTCACATTCAGTATCATGAAACCAAAAGAACAAAAATAAATGTTTTTTCTTGGCACTTTTGAGATTTCTTTGTAGAAGAGTACCACAAATGAGCATCCATTGCTGGAACCTTCCATACAACACAAGTGTGACTCACAACTCACGATGACAACAGCAGTACACATGACTCATGACATACGAGTGACGTGAGCAGGGTCCTATTGGGAGTCCTCCATATGTGCATGCACACACACACGCACGCACGCAAACACACACACACACACACACACACACACACACACACACACACACACACACACACACACACACACACACACACACACACACACTCTAGTCACCATTAGAAAGCTTATTTTGAGTGTATTGAATCTGAAGTGAATCGTTCTTATTAGCTTAAGGTCCCAAAAACAATAAATATTCATTTGCAGCAGGCTGGTTAAAACATTGTGACTTTTGGGGGTTAAGTCCTCTTTCTCTTCCCACTCAGGCTGCCTTGTTTGCACATGTTAAACACTGATCCGAAACATCTATAAGCACAGTTTTATTCTTCGTGACGAGGTCTTTACAGCAGGCCGCCCTCAGACATTAGTCTCCTCCCCTTCAACAGTGTTTGTGTGCAGCTTCTCCTCCAGACACGCCTCCTCTGTGGCCGTGCTCACGTGACTGCTGGCGCCCCGGTGTGACAGGAAAGAGAACTGCAGGGTGTGTCTGCTCTTTGTGGTCCCGCCTTTCCCCGTGCCGTTGCTATAGGAAACCACTAGTCTGCGGTTCTCCTCGGGTGCGGTTGAGCAGGAGGGCTCAGCTTTGTTGAGGCGAGGCGAGTCACCGCCGGGGTCGCTGGCGTTGTTGTCGTGGAGATAGGGCAGATTGCCAGTGACAATGCTGCCGCTCTTGAGATGCGGCGTGTGGCTGTGGGTGTGGCGGTACTCCTCGTCAATGTCCTTACCCAGCTTCCACCTCTTCCACTTTTTTAGCATCTCTGACTGCACCTGCAGGATGGGAAAACAGCGGACAGACGAATGAACATATGTGATGAAGATTAAATAAGACACCAAGCACTTCATCAGATGGATTTGTCTTGCGTAACATTATATTTAAAGATGTAGAGATGAGCTGACAGAAGATGTTGTGTCTGTCGCACGTTGTAGACAAAAGGATAAAGTGGATTATTAAGATTTAGAGATACACCAAGGAACGATAAAGGCTGGAAACAGAAATGCTGATGATGTAAAATGTCTAGTTTATCAGCTCTAAAAGAGAAAGGGAGGAACTCCAACAATAGCAGAGATTAAATGAAGGTGCATCTTGACGTGAAAGCACATCTGTCTCACCTCTTTGTTGATGAAGCAGTACAAAATAGCAACCAGCAGGCCCTGAAACACAAAGTGGAGTTTTAATATTTCAGTCATGGAAGATACTGGTAACCAATGATACGCACTTTGTACTGGGTTTTAACGGACAGAGGTCTAACTATTTAATCTGTGAATTATTATCAACAAATACCCTGGTATCACTTTGGCCTTTATATTACTCCAAAGCAAGCCTGTTGTGAAGTTATTTCAGAACAAACTAGACAGAACATGTGGAGCATATTTAAATTAGATGGCACACAATGCCTCAGTACGGGTCCTTTTTACCTGTATGTTAAAATAGAGGTCTTTGTTACTAAATTAGACTACACAAGCAAAACTTAAAGAGTATATACAAAACTTCGTAGTGAATATTCTTTTGGATGCTGATTGACAGGTTGCTGTAATGCACCAAGGAAATCAGCAATGCAACAACAAAGGCATGGAAGAATAGCAATCACAGCAAGAAACAATACAGGTTTCACATTTTTCTAAAGGATTGGCTTTGTAGATTTTATAAGGAAGGAAAAGAGTGTAGTTGTTAGACCTCGAGGGACAACATAATTCATTTGGTTGAGTGACACTGTATGTAAAAGAGAAACATGGTTATTTACAAAAACTCCACTGGGCATCTTTAAATATTAATCCTATCAATCCATTATTCATCCATTTTTACAGAATTTACGCAAAGTTACTTGTTCCCAATTAAAGAAATGTTGAGAAAAGGAGAATATGATACTGATTAAACACAGTTTGACACCAAAACAGAATAAGATCATTTAACGGTCACCTATTATGCAAAATCCACTTTTTCAGAATCAGCATTTTTGAAACAGGGCTGAAACAGAGGGGTTTGTGGGATGCATGATCTGTTTGGTGTTTCGAGCCAAACTATTCAGAGACATGTTTTGTATATAACTGAGACCTATAATATATTGTTGAGAAAGGGTATAATATGGGACCTTTAAGGTAGACTATTTATTACAGATGAATCAAAAAGTAATACTTAATACTAGAGTCAGATGCGTTTAAAGAAATGACAAAAGGCTAAGGAATTACTTTGTGTACAACATAAAAAATAAAAACAGGAGAGAACACGGATAGACACACTGACATCAATATTTGAGATTCATGTGGAGGTGAGCTCTGACCTGGAAAGAGTTGAAGAGCAGGTCGCAGAAAAGGCGAATGAGGCGCAGCATGGAGCCTTTAGGGACGGACTCATCGATGACGAAGGTGAAGAGGATGGCGTGAATCCCAAGGAGGGGAATGAGGGTCAGAGTGGACTTTGCTAATCTGGACCAGAGGAAGACAAAGAGGGAGATAACATCATATTTCCAAACATGTTAGACACTGCTCATTCTGCTTTGTTACGACTTTCATCAGGTTTAAAGATCAAGGCAGGACTCACCTGAACTTGTAGTCAGTGTATCTCATCTGATGAGCTCTGAGCTTAGACATCAGGATTTTGATGATCCGTATGAATATGAAGAAATTAATCTGTAATAAGAAGAGGGGGGGATCGAAATGATGCAAACACATGCATTCTGTAAATGTTTACAAGACATAATGGGTAAGAGAGACAGATATTCCCCAAAATGCCTTTCTGAGTATTTCTGTGCTCTGTGGGATTTCAGCTGGCAACACACACCACACACGCACGCACACACAAACACACTGTGATGTAGTGCAGACCCTCTCCAATGACAGAGAACATTAATTATTGCAGCACTCAAGATATTAGCGCTCCAAATTTGGTATCATGTGTATGTTGTCTCAACAGATGTGTTGGTCCAAATATGTGTGAGTGCACACAAACACAGTTTATTTAGGTGTGAATATGTGTGTGTGAACTTTAGAGTTGTGTTGTGGATTACTGGAGGATGACATACACAAGATTACGATAAAGAGAGTTTTTCCACAGAGCACAATCTGTGTGACTTCCACAGTGTATGCCACTTACGGGTGTCTGGATATTTCAGCTTGTGTGTGAACACACGTACGCTTTTGCATGAGTTCACAAAGGTTGCTATGTGAATGTGCACTTGTTCTCATACTGTAAGTGTGTCCATCCATAATGTTGTTTGTCACTATGGGAACAAGAGGCAGGAAACACACAAGTGGAAGACCACTACTTATTGCTGTTTGAGCACGTATGTGTGTGCATGTGTGTGCGTGTGCATGTGTGTGTGTGTGTGCGTGTGTGTGTGTGTGTGTGTGTGTGTGTGTGTGTGTGTGTGTGTGTGTGTGTGTGTGTGCGTGTGTGTGTGTGTGATGTGTGTGTGTGTGTGTGTGTGTGTGTGTGTGTGTGTGTGTACATCAATGTGTAAGAACACCAAATACAAATTATGTAAACAATAGTCTACAGCTAATATTCCAAACAATTTAGGTTGAACATTTTGGTTAATTTTATTGAGATGTTTGAAATCAATTTGGATTCTCACTATTATGAAGGTGTTGCCAGTTTAATCTATAAACAGACTCACACACTAGGCCGTGAGATGGTTAACAAGATAAAAAAACTTTAATCAAACTTAAATGCTTCACATAATACTTCTCTTTTCCAGAATACATTTTTAGAAGTTTAATATCCTCTTTACCTGGTAAATAAGATAGAAGATAATACACACAAACATCTGTAATTAAAACATGTTTAACAAAAGAGGAATCCTTTTTTTTTGTGCCAATTATATTTTTAAAAAGTGTGATTCATTTCTTGCTACATTTTGCATGGTTCACTTCAGTGAAAACCTGAGTCAAGTCACAGTCTGTCGTCCCCAGGAGATCTAAAGTTCACCCGAACACTTGACTGAACTGGCTGATTTCATTATTTTCTACTCCATAAAATCATTGTTGGACGCCACACCCGACTGCACAGAGAGGCATTCTGTCGATATTATCTAAAGTACTCAGCGAGGAGGGATCATAGTGGCACTGATGTACAAGAGGGGATGCGGGGAAACTGCGAAATTAGGTGTCATTCTAAGAGGAGTTTTACACTCGCAACCCAACTTCTATAAACTTTCTAACATGCATACGTTCATAGAAGCACAGAAAGCATGTTTTTAAGGGAGACATTTTGACATGTCATAGTAGGGAAATCACAGAGGTATTTAATCACATTAATTATGGATTCATCTAACTGAGGGGAGGTCCTGCTCTTGTGGCTCATTAAAACGCTAACTTGGACACTTAATGGAACTGGGCCATATTAGCATTTCCATGTGTGCTCTTTCTACTAGGACAGGTCAAATTGTCTGCTGTGAAAAAGTTAAATAGTGAATACACTCTCTGCCTTTTCTGCCTGTGGCGGGGTCATGAGGAAACAGTTCACACCTTTGCTCTCTTCCTTGGGACAAATATTTGACTTTTGGTTGATGATTCAGCTCTTTGTTATTCTCTTTTATCATGGCTGTGCAGCCCGGTATTTGACAGTGTCTTTATTCACAGCAACATCTGCCAAGACACACTTTGTGAATGTCAGCTGCTGTGTGTGTCCGTTTGGGTTTGTGTGTTTTTGCGTGCATCTGTAGCTCCATCACATGCCAGCACACTCTGTACCTGAATTTACTTAGTCCATTTGTTCTAATGTATAGTGACAGGCAGAAAATAATTGGGCAAGGAACAAACAGACAGACTTACCAGATAAGCAAATAGTATAGGGGAACGGATAATCCACCAATATCCCATGTTAATATTCCTCTCCCAGCACCTACACACACGCACACACACATTATACATTGTACATTATTGCTGTTTTTTAGTGATTTTGTCACAAGATATTCATACAGTGTGGTAGGAATTCACAGATAAAAGCTGTTACATTCAAACTGCCTTACATTTTATGTAACAATAGTATTATTGAATGTTATTACTGTACGAAAAGTGACTTACTCTTCGTTTTCATACAGATATTTCACTGTGATCCACGGCAACACGAATATGAGCGGTGTACCTGAGAACGAATGTGAGAGTGAACGTTATAAAGTTGTTGAAACAAAGATTAATGATGATATCATGGAAATGGTGCTCCTGGTAGATCATCTGCTACACAACTTAATACAGTTTGAGCTATATTTATTATTTTACCCGGTTATCATGATGATGAGTTTACAAATCTCATTATCTCAAGACTAATCATTTTTGTTTCCCCAATGAGGACATGAAAGGTCTTTAAGTATGAAAGTGTCTGTCTGCCTCTGCAAAGCTTTATCTAATCTGTTCATGAGGCGGGTCTCTTCTTCAGACATGATCTCACCAACAGTTGGACCATCCAGTGAGACCACGATTTGTTATCTCCGCTCAGAGAGGAGTTTCATAATCAGGGAAAAGAGTGTTGGAAATCTCAAGATAACTATATAATTGTTACATCAGAGTAGCAAGCTACAAATTAAATATGAGCATCATAAAGTCATTCACAAGAACATTAAGATTATGTTCCCAAGAAAGCACACATGTTTTTGTTGTAATTATTATGTGTCCTGACAATTCATACTTTTTGAATGAATATATTTGAATTTTTTTATGTACACTTTCTCACAGTCTTAACATACATGATATCCCACCGTCTTGGGCAGTATTAGTGCAAAGTAAAAGAAAAAATAGAAAGCCCTTTGATGTTCCAGAGGGAAATCTGAAGCACTTGAGTCAGTGCTGGTTTGGTCTGTCAACTACAAATGTGAAAATGAAATAAATGTGAGAGTGTGCAGTTAGAGGCGAGATAACCAGTCCCCTGTGGCCAGCTCCTCATCTCTCCTTTTTATTTGTGTTGGCTCCTTATCCTCGCTTGAGACTTAATAACGCAAATAGCTTAATGAGCGGTTGGTCGTCAAGTTGCCTTGTGGGTAACGAAGGCACCAGGTTTTGACGATGAAGTATGTACTGAATAAAAAAAAAAATAAATTCTGCTCTTGAGTGTGACACTTAAAAACGATCTCTGACTCATCCCTCAAACACACTCTTTGTGTTTGCTTGTTTGTTTGTCACTAAGTATCATCACTTCGAAACACCTGTTGACAGGAGGCCCTTGCTGATTTTAATCACTTCACTAAATTACCTGACTGCCTGAGAAAGGATACTTTTTTTTGCTTTTCCACTAGGGGTAGTTCCGTCTCAGGGCTACTTTTTCACCTTTTTTCTGGCCCTCCAAAATCAAGGTTCTTACCGGGCCAACAGCCGGGCTGAATATGCTAAACTAGTGACGTAAACACTCTCGACTGCTGAATGGTCAGAGAGAATCGCTGGCAAAGGGGCTACAACTACAACAAAATGAACATATTTTACCGTGATTTAATTGTAATACACGTTTCAAAATGATGCCGAAGTAACAACATACTGATACCGGTTAGTAAAAACCATGAATGAATGCTTTGACAAGTCTGCAGACAGACGGCAGGCGAAAAACCTTTTAAAATGCGTGTTTTCTGAATGGAGATCGGATCAATCAGGCTAAGCTAACGTTGTATACTGTATGCTCCGACCGTCCACACTCACAACAACGGCCTACAGACATAAATAAACCCGCGACTGTACTCGCCATGACACAGACAGTCTGTGGTTTGTACTTGTTTAACTTTTGTCTAGTTTCTGAACAGATATGAGGAGCTGTGAGCTCTGAGGGCTAACAGCTAACGGCTGATGTTTTGGTTTTGTGGTTTGCAAACTTCGCATTGAAGATGACGTCACGGCAGTTTTACGCAGCGTCGCTCCACCCGCCGAACAGCCGATCGCTCCGCCTACACTGCGTTACTATAGTTACTACCCCTGTTACTAAACTGTAATGGAAACGCAGCATAAAGTGAGCCTGGCCTACCAAGGCCTAACCATACCGTACTAAGCCGTGCTAGGTCCTGCAGTGGAAAAGCGCCATTAGATACCTGTTGACCATCCATGTCCGAATACTTCCTGTTGCCGTTAACCTTGTTCCTTTGAACAACTGCTCAAATAGACTGTTTGCTGTTCTCCTTCTTGGTAAAATGTATGTTTTCTCTTCTCACTTAGTTGAACTGTATTTGTTTGGTTAAAAAATAACAGCAATACAGGTTATTTTATAAGCGTAAATGTCTATGTTAGTCATTGTCTAGTTTAGATGTAATCAGCGCATTGGATGGGCATCATCAGCCTCATGTATATTGGTAATGAAAAGAAGGTTGATGGGCCGTCATCACTTAATTAAAGGTGGGGTATGTAATTTTGGAGAAACCGGCTCGAGATCGATAGAATTTGAAAATACACAACCGGAAAAAATCTGCCACTTCCTTACAGAGCCCCTCCTCCAACACACACGAACGCGCACATGACCAATGAGGGCACGAGATAAGTTTGTGCACAGATGGAAGGCTGACAGGCAGGTAGGCCATCCAGTTACTTTAGCCGGGCCGGCTAAAATGATTGGTCATGCTTTTTACAGCGCTACGGCTTCCACAGATTACATTTTTTATGTATTTATTGTCAAAGCATTTCATATATTCATTGCTATCGGGATGTTAAGAGCATTCCATGGAATATAACAAAAAGTGTTTCTGAAATAAATTACATACCCCACCTTTAATCACATGGTTGATCCACGATACAAGAACTAAACCTCTTATGGCCATAATTATTATAATGGGAGAGAAAGAGTGTAAAGAGCCTGTGGCCTCCAAGAAGACCTGAGGGCGGCAGAGAGTCATACTTTAAAGAACAAACTCAAGAACCACCTTTTTGATTTGATTTAACAGAATGTTATTTTAGTCTTATCTTATTCCTTTTTATTCTTATATTTATTTGTATTTTATTTGTATTATTAATTTTATATTATGAACTGTTTTTTTTAATCACAAAGCTATGTGTTACTCTGGTTATACCTTTGAAGGAGGGGGATAGTATTGTTTTATTTTTTGTAAATTGTGTTTGGTTTGTGAAGCACTTTGAGTTGCCTTTGTGTATAAAAAGTGCTGTATAAATAAAGTTTGATGATTGACAATTGAGGAATCAAATTGCCGATAACACCCAACAGGTGAGCAGTTTTTCTTACCCCAGCCAATGGCCAGATAAATGTAGAAGTACTTCCTCTCGCTGAACACGGTGATGACGAGCAGGCTGTGCAGGTAGATGCCCTCCACCAGCAGCCAATAGTTGTTGGCCATCACGCTGTACTGCATCATCACCATGGCACCTCGACACCACGTAACAGCCTGAACACGACACAGGATGGGGGTGGTGCGAAAAAGACAGTAAGCCAAAGAGAGACCTTCTGTTATTGTACACAAGATGGAAAGTGTGCAGCAAAAATACAATGCTCAGAGTCCTTGTCCCTGTCCTTCACATCACGCGTTTGATTCTAGCACACAATCTTTCCTCACACTCCTACACAGCAGAATATGTTAAACACAAATCGTTTGCTCCTATTTTCAGAAATAATAAAATACTTTCTGCACATTAAAGGGGCTTATTCTCATTCATTTGTTAAAATCTGTGTAAATGAGCACTTCTGCTAACATAATCCTTCCACCTGGCAGTTGAGGCATATGTAGATGCAGATTAAACAGCATGAATATCAGGTGTGCCTAAGGCTGGTCATTTGTATCACCACTCGAGAATGTGCAATTTTATGTTGAAAAACAAATGCATTAGTGACTCTAAACTGTGAAGTGGATGGATTATCTTGGAGCAAACTGCTCACTAACAGAAATGTTAACAAATATGTGCACATCATTTGAGAGGCATTAACTTGTTGAGTGCATTTAAAGTTCTCGTGAAAAATGAGAGTGAAAACAAATATGCGGTTTTCATGTTTGTGCTCAGTATGCAATATCAAACTAAATCGATTTCCAATGTCGCTTACACTTCGGCACTTTCGCAGGAAATCACATTTGTTGTAGTGGCCATTTTGTCATTGTTAATGTGAATTTATGCAAGGCCGTTTGTACCATTTTAAATAAGATAAATTGCATATTCCTCCGATGCAGATGTAGAGAAGCTTAACAAGAAAGGAGTTAGAGGAACTTGAGGGATCGGCATGTGTTGGAGTTTCTGGGCTTTGTTTTTCTCTCTGATATTAAACATTCACAAGTTGAGATGTGTTCTCTATGAGCTGATGATGATGTATGACATTTCAAATACTAATATTGTCCTTCAGAATTTTCCTAGGGGATTTAACTTCCATTCATGAATCACTTGTAGGGGGACTCAACATTTATTGCTTTCTATAATAGCTCATTTCTTCTCATCAGAACCATATTAAGTTATGTATATAGCTGTACAATTTGTAAAAGTCTGTTGAATTTATTCAATGTCCAAAAAGAGGTTGTAAATGCACATATTCAAGAAAAATGTAGTAGCCTAGACTTTGTATGTGCCACAACCCTCTGTCTGATTACATATTCTCACTATACACTGTAGTAAATTTACAATATGCCCCATTAACAGAGCAGGAAGTATTGTGATGTTTTTTTTTGTAAACATTTTTTTTAATTCAATTTATTGAACATGTCAGAAACAAAACATACAACAATAATAATATATATATATATATATATCATTTTCTTTCTTGTTTTTTCTCACTCATAATAATAATTATAACAAAGTACAAACAAATAATAATACAAAAAAAATAAAAAATAAAATAATAATAATAATAATAATTCTCAAATAGTCTCTGTCATGTTCAACAGGGGCAAGAAGAAGCTTAAAAAAAACTTTTCTGGTCCTACCCCCTCTAGCATACATTTTCCTTATAAATAAAATATTAGGTCATCGTCATCAGCGATATGTTTGTCTTTTTTTTACAAAACAATCAGAAAGAAATTACTTTTACAATTACAAGAAATAACAAATGGGATTTTACAGGTCCTGTTCATAACCATTAATGATTTGGCTCCTAAATAATACTTTCAGTTTAGATAGACTTGTACAATATTTCAGTGCATCATTAGAGTTATTCCACAGACTAACACCTTTTGATGAGATGCAATGAAGTTTGGCATTTGTTCGTACGGGTGGTTTTTTGAAAATGCAGTTTCCTCTCAACATGTTCTCCGTGTGAAAAGTCCCTGGATATTATGAGGTAATTGTTGATTTGCGGCTTTGAACATAATTTGAATAGTTTTATAGTCAACCAGGTCTTGTAGTTTTAGTGTTTTTAGTTTGATAAATAATTTATTTGTTGGTTCTCTGTACGAAGTTTTATGTATAACTCGTATGGCTCTTTTTTGCAGGATGAAGATAGGATGTGTATTTGTTTTATATGTGTTCCCCCAAACTTCCACACAGTACATCATGTATGGAAGTATGAAGGAGCATACAGCATAAACAAGGAAGCTTGATTAATTAGGTATTTGGCTTTATTCAGAATTGCTATTGATTTGGATATTTTGGCTTTGATATAGCTTATATGTGGTTTCCAACTTAAAGGGGACCTATCATGCAAAATGCACTTTTGTACGTCTTTTATACATGAATATGTGTCCCCGGTGTTCCAGGGAACTCACCAAGTGTCAGAAAACACAACCCTCTCTATTTTCCTCCATACCCAAATCTCTAAAAAAGGGGCTGCAACGGATCTGATAAAAACTGATCCAGATTTGAACACTGTCCTGACGTCAGGACGGTGGTGCTACGGCTATTGGGCCAACTCCACCAATCAGGAGGAGACAGCCACGGCCATTGCCGTTCGAAAGCGCTGGAGACGCTGTAGTACATATGCCAGGCCAGTAGATGGTGCTGTTCTCACTGAATCTGCCCCTGCTAAAACAGAGCTAGAAATTGTCAAATTGAGCAAAATGAGGCATGGCTAAAATGCATGATCTGTTTGGTATTTTGAAAAAAAAAAAGTATAAATATGCCTTATATAGGTATGGTCCTACACTATATTATTCAAATATAGCATGATAGGTCCACTTTAATTTATTGTCTATGATTACTCCAAGGAATTTTTTTTCCGATACTCTTTCTAGTTGGACGCCATTTATAGTGAGTTTCTTCTCTGTATTGGTCGATCGATTCCCAAATATTATGAGTTTGGTTTTGCTTGCGTTCAATGTTAATTTATTTTGGTCAAACCAGATCTTCATCCTGCTCAGTTCCTTTTCCATTGTGACCAATAGCTGTTCTAAATTGTCCCCACAGCAGAGTAGACTTGTGTCGTCTGCAAAAATAATGGTTTTAATAGTTTTTTATACTTCACATATATTGTTAATATACAGAATAAATAGTAATGGCCCCAATACTGAGCCCTGAGGCACCCCACATGTGACCTGCAGTAGTTGTGATTTATGGCTTTGTAATTCAACGTACTGTTCCCTGTTATGTAGGTAGCTGGATAGCATGATAGTGCAACACCTCTAATGCCATATCTCTGTAGTTTTTTTATTAATAATTCATGGTCAACCGTGTCAAATGCTTTTTTAAGGTCCAGAAATATCCCTATTGCATATTCTTTCTTTTCTATTGCCTTAGTAATGTGTTCCATAAATTCTATAACTGCAAATGATGTGGTTCTGTTAGCTCTGAAACCATATTGTTGTTCATAGAGTATATTATGTTTGGTGATGAAGTCATTTAGTCTTGTATAGTAGATTTTTTCCAGTATTTTAGAAAACTGTGAGAGCAATGAAATTGGTCTATAGTTTGACATGTTTATCTCCAGATGTATGTATTGGTATGACTTTAGCAGTTTTCATTTTATTTGGAAATACACCGGTTTGTATTGACTGATTACAGATGTGAGTTAGTGGTTTGGCTATACATTCAATAATGTTTTTAACTGTATACATGTCAATATCATGACAGTCTGTAGACCTTTTACTCTTAAGTTTTTTAACTGTGTCAATAATTTCATTTTCATCAGTCCCCGTTAAGAATATAGTTTCCTTCACATATATATCTTTACTTTCTACATCTTCACTACTACCAGTATTTGGAATTTCCCCAGCTAGACAAGGACCAACATTGACAAAGTACAACTGAGGTCATGTCATAAATTACTGTATCGTTTTTTGACAGAAAACTGTTTGGGTATTGTGCCTTTCCATTTCCTTTTTTAATAATGGTATTTAATACATTCCATGTGTTTTTAATGTTATTTTTGTTATCCTCCAATAATTTGTTGTAATGATCCATTTTGCTACATCGTATTATCTTTGTTAGTTTGTTTTTGTATGTCTTGTATTTTTGTTCAGCCTCTACTGATCTATTCTTTAAGAAGTCTTTATATAATTCATTTTTCGTTTTACATGCATTTAATATTCCCTTAGTGATCCATGGTTTTTCAGCATATTTTTGTTTCACTATTTTCTTTACACAAGGACAATGTTTTTCATACAGCCCTGATAGAATATGTAGAAATGATTCATAGGCTTCATTTACATCTGATCCATACACTTTGTTCCAGTCTTGTTTAGATAATTCTTCTTTAAGAGAATTAACAGACTCTGGTGTTTTGTGTCTTGTAATTGTGACTGTTCTGGTGTCTTTTTTGATCCTAGTACAGTTCTGTATTGTTGCAAAGACTGGCAGGTGATCACTTGTGTCATTTATTAATATTCCACTTATTACTTTCCTATCCATAACATGTTACTGCAGTGAGAAATGTCCTTATAGAAAGGTATTTCTCTCGTGCTAAATAGCTGCACATCAACACATGAATAGCCGGTGAGGCTGGCGTGATGTTTTGGCTCTGACCGGTATGTTGACCCAGGCTTGTGTCCGGGTGTCCCCCCCGCTCCTGGGGTCCAGAGTGAGGGTCAGCAGGGCGTCTTTGACCAGGATGGACACGGCTCTCAGGATGAACGATGCGAACAGGTTCATGTGGATGTTGTTCCTCATGCAGTGCAGCTTCCTGGTGCAGAGTTGACAGTGTGTGAAATATTTTGACTTTGATATGTTGTATCATATCACTGTAGTAATGCATGCAGGAACATGACTCTAAAACATTCTTCCAACATTGTATTTCTTACTTTTTTTCTTTATGTGTTCCTTCTTTATTCCATCAGCACTTACACTGGCTGTCACTATATTGTTTTACACAATGTACCATACCCATCCTGTTCATATTCATACTGTTATATCTTTCTTTTCTTAATGCATATTTATATATTCATACACCTATATGAATATAATAGGCTATATACATCTTATTTAGTTTTATCATGCAGCACATCGTGTCCTATTTTCTGGAACAGTTTTTTTTTTTAATGTATATCAGGTTATATTTTAAATGTGCATGTAATTTGTATATATGACAATAAAACATCTTGAATATTGAATTCTGTCGTTCATTCCCTGTTTCCCTCCTTTCTATTACTAAACTTATTTTTCCCTGCATCTTTCATTCATTGCTTCTTTTTCTTTTCCTTTGTCCTGTTTGTTCTTATTTCTTCTCTACTATCCCCTTTCTTTTCTTCTCCCTTCATTCATCCCTGCCTTTTCTTATTTTCCTAGTTTGCTTTGTCTCTTTTCCATTTTTCTTCCGCCTTCACGTATTTGTATTCTTCTATTGATTACTTCACCCTTCTTTCTTACTTGGTAGGAAAGCAAAAAGGGAAAGATTTTTCCCTAATATTATTAAGTGCTTCTTTCGTCTCTGTTATTCGTGCCCTATCTCCTTGCTTTTTTCTCCTTTTCTTTTTTCCTGCCTTCCTTTCTTCTTCCCTTGGTTTCCACTTTCTCTTTATTCTCATCGTTTTTCACAACCATTATTGATTCCTTTCCTTTTGTCTTTTCGTTCCTCTACCTCTTTCATCCTCTTCTCTGCCCCCCCCCTCCTCCTCCCTTCCCTGTTTACTCCTCGCACATGTTGTACCTGAAGGTGATGAGGGTACCCAGGGCCAGTAGCAGAGCCCCCAGGGAGAGCGAGTAGCCCACTGTGTACATGATGCGTAACTGACTTAGGATGCGGCCATACTGCTGCTGCAGAACAAATGGAGAGACATAACCAGTTTCATCGACACACACACACACACACACACACAACACACACACACACACACACACACACCACACACACACCACACACACACACACACACACACACACCACACACACACCACACACACACACACACACACACACACACCACACACACCACACCACACACACACACACCACACACACACACACCACACACACACACACCCACACACACAGTGCTGATTAATTCTGACACAAAATATGCAAAAAAACGTGAACCAGGGCCGCCCCTCCCTACAGGCCGATCACGCAGACTGCGTGGGGCCTCATCTTGTGGAGGGTTCACCTACAGTTTCGCCGCGCCACAGTTTCGCCGCGCCACAGTTTCCACCCCCCCCCCCCCCCCCCGTCGACGAGAGACAGAGGGCCTCATCATATAACTTGCGTGGGGCCAAGTTGGCCAGGGTTGGCCCTGATTGGAACAGATGGGGGGATTTTCACACGCTGAGTCTCTTCAGATCGTGTCAAGTTAAAGTTTCATGTTAACAATATCGTAATCCCATCTGCTGGCTTCAAACATGGTAGTTTATACTACACACACACACACACACACACACACACACACACACACACCCACACAAACACACACACACACAATTTTACATAAATACACACCACTGTATACACACACCTCACCAGGGTCGTCCTCACACTCGCTGGTATTCTTTCGCGCCCACTGACCCTCTTCACTGCAGACTCTGTAGACCCGACCCTGCTGAACTGTGAGACATTTTACATTACATTTTACATAAGGATGTCATGTGTAGCTCCCACCGTTCAGAAGTGTCTTAATGCCCTCACAATCATTTAATTTAGTGACGTTATTTTATCTGAAACAAAAATAAATTGTCAATCCTCCATATGGTTAAAATGAAGCTAAAGCAAGCTAAGCACAAAGACAAGAAGCGGGAAAAAGGTTAGCCTTGCTAATAATGAAGGTTAAGCCCCCATTTACACGGGAACGCAAACGAAACGCAAACGAACCGAACTCGATATCAAAAAAGTCTTCCGTTCACACGGATACGGCTCAATAAACGTGTCCCTTCACACAAGACCGCTCGACCCGCTGGAGACGCTGTAGTACATATGCCGGGCCTGTAAGTGGCGCTGTACTTCCGCCACAAAATACACCAAAAGCAGCGAAGAAGACCCCCGAGCATGGTTGCCATGGTTGCCTGGTTGCCCTTCTGTTTATTCTCCGTGGTGGATTTAGCAACATGTAGTTCATGTAGTTCTCCATGTCCACTTGTTGCTGATGGTTGTGGTAGAGGAGCTGTAGATTTTGCACTAACATCTGTAGCATGGTCAGTAGCAGTAGCAGTAGCTACTGACAGTAGCTACTGACCATGCTACAGCAGTGAGCAGCAGAGGTGGGGAGAGGCGGGGCTATGGCTTCATCGTTATCAGGAAATGATCGTATAGGACGTACACACTGAGCCGTTTGGCCCCCCAGAGCATTCCGTCCGCAGATCTATCCACCTTGGGACCCGTTATCGTTTTAGGGGTCCGTTTCCGCGGTTCCGTTACGGTTGCCTGTGAACGAACGGACTATACGAAAGAGAAAAGTAGCGGATACAACCCGTTTCGTTCCCGTGTAAACAGCACCTAAAACTAGCTCACAATTAACATGTCATAGTTTAATTGTTGAACCCATTAAAAAGTTATTAGGTGGTGGTCTACTTCCTGGAGTAGCTGCTGGTTGCCTGGCAACTGCATCTCATGCAATTGTCCAGCACATAATCCCCTGTCAAACTACCACTCAACGTTTTTAGACCTCAAGTTACTAAGTGAGCTTTATAAGTCTTGTCAGGTTAATTGTATTTTTTTAGGTCTGGGCAAAGCTATTTCCAGTCTTTTTACTAAGCTAAGCTAGCAGACAGTAGCTTCATGTTTACCTTACAAACATGAGTGGCATCAAGCATTTGGATGTCATTGGGTCATTGTCCAACAACCTGTCCTCCAGTTATCAGATAATGATATTTTGTACCAAACTAATAATCTGATCAGAGCACTTACAGTAAATTGCCAGATGTTCCGTGCATTCATGTGACTTGTTTTTATTATCAAATCATTAGCATGGCTTAGCCAATTTGTCTATACAACGGTAAAGGAATATTGTCCATTTCAGTTTCCCAGATCCCACTGTGATCTTTAAATGTTTGGTTTTGTCCAACCAACAGTCTAACATCCAAAGAGATTCCCTTTACGTAAAGAAGAAAAAGAGAAGGAGTTGGAAACAGGGGTTTGACTCTCTACACTTGCTGGAGAAAACAAGGAAATCCCCTGCTGCTACTCCACAGGAGATAACAGATATAATCCTCCCCTCACACCTATGCAATGCCTGCTACCTGAGGGAAACCTGAACATGAAAAATAACAATTCTATGCAGGAAGAGCAGCACATCTTAGAGCCTCATGCTTCATGTATCAACAGTTATCTCTCTGACAGCCTGCACACTAAGGGAACATGAATCACAGGAGACACTGTTTGAAGCCTTGACACCACTTTCAGGTTGATAATGAGAGTGGTAGCTGACTGATACGTATCACACCAGTTGATGACGTATCCACTCTCTTCTCACTACTGCATTCACTCATCAGAAGAATGACAAGGACATATGAGCTTAACTGACTGAATGACTTTAATGAAAACACGTTAAAGAGCACGTGTTCTCATGCCCCTCAGTGCGTCCTTGTATTTCTTTAACAAATTCAAGTCAGTTACATACAAGTCACTTTGTTTCCACTAAGGTGTGTTAAAGAAGAGCTTTAGTTTGAAAAGGGGGAACATTTCTGCATACTGGAATTGCTCATTTTAATTAAAGACATATTATTTCAGTTATATTTATGACATTATAAACCTGGTTACATTTATCACATTGTTGCATATGGCACTTTACTGATATATTAAACTGCTTTTAATAGATATATTTGCACTCTTTCCCACGCTGCCACTGCTACACAACTATTTCCTGCAGGCAAAATAAAATGAATCTCTTATATCATCTATTTCTAAAGGAGTACTCAACCCCACAACTACTAACACTGTGTTATATAAAAAAAAGTTCACATTCCTCTACGGTAAAGAATGAAAAAACTGAGAAATTCTAAGTAAATGGGGGCCATGTTTAAAAACAGTACATTTATTTCAAAACATCTGGCTCAATTATCTCAAAACTCATAGAGTATTGAGATCAAGTTTTGCTATCTATACTTGTCTTGTATTTTGATCCTTTGTTCACCTTGGCTGTGGGCATTTTCTGTTAACACACATACCTTTGCGGTACCATGGCAGGAACCATGGGCAGGACACATTGACAGTTGTTCCTGGGAGTCCATCAGGCCAGCAGACGTACAGATCAAAGGTCCGGTTACACACCAGCCCTGCAGCGGAAAGCAGGTCTGTGAAATCATGCTACTTAATTCTACTGCAGAAACATGCTAATGCTGGGAGGAGAGGGGCTCACCGGTGGCGGGGGGCGTGGCGTTGAGGTAGTCCAGGCACTGGTCTTTGTAGCTGCTCCACTTCTCCTTCACAAGCTCTAGGGAGTTTGTAGAGAAGACCTTCAAGAAGAGGAAACGTCATCAAGCCTCGTGAAGTTTCAGCAACACCATCATCACATTTTCTACACCTTCATCTTTCTAGATCAAAGACACATCTCATTGTGGTGTGTGAAAACGAAAGAGACACTATGAGTCGTACCTTTGTGCAGCTGCAGAGCAAAAGCAAGGCCAAGAGGAGACACACCTGGGACATCCCACTGACGCTGGGAGGATGGGGGTGGGTGGGGACCAGAACACAGAGGAGACCCGACACATGAGGCGGTCTCAGCCCTGTCTCTCCGTGTGGCCTACACACACAATATGGAGGAGCTTGTTAGTGGAAAGAAGGTGTGTGTGTGTGTGTGTGTGTGTGTGTGTGTGTGTGTGTGTGTGTGTGTGTGTGTGTGTGTGTGTGTGTGTGTGTGTGTGTGTGTGTGTGTGTGTGTGTGTGTGTGTGTGTGTGTGTGTGTGTGTGTGTGTGTGTGTTGGTGGCCTTTTGAACTGCAACTGAAAGAGAGACAGAGTGAAATGATGAAGATATCGGTGATCAATGACCAGAAAAAAAGTTACAACCGGTGATATACTGACTGCTCTCTCACACACAATCCTTCACAATGGAAGCTCTGTATGAACAAAGATCTTGTGAACCCAAGGTCATTGGTCAAAAACATACCTCTTCACACATTCTTTCTAAGCATTGAGTGCGAAAATGCAGCACAAAAGCATCAAGCATGGATGTTTAACATATAGAAAGATGGGATTGGACAGCAAGGGTGAATGGATCGGAGTAGAACATGTACCCTATTGCAAGAACAAAGATGTTTGTGTGCATTTGTCTATGCATTATGGCAAGTATACCACATATAAGGTCTGGAAATCAATAGCATCAAATTACAGGTAAAATTGTTTGTGTGTTGAGCTGTCACATGTCCTGTAGATCGTCTTCATCCATGAAGTTGGAGAACAAAACGAAATCTGAAACGTTTCTGCAAAAAACACCTTGACCATGGAAACATTTTTGGCTAAAACGTTTCAAATTCCACTCTGTTCCAGTCTCGGTGCTTCTGTTGGAGTGCCGTAAGGAAGATATGTGTGTGTGTTTCATTATGTCCAGTGCATTGAACTGCTGTACCTGCCTGAGATCTAAGTCAAACATCGATAGCCTGTTGTGTTAGCACAGCAGAATAACACCTTCATTTTGAAACAGAACAAACATCCATTCAGTGAGCTGCGGCTGTTTTTTCTTCCAGTAACAAACCTTCTATCTTGTGGTGTTACAGTAATAACCTTCCTCTTTACCATCACATGCAGATCTTATCAATTGAGGGAAGACAGAAGCTTTACATGCTCCTGTAGGCAGATTTCATGTTATCTACATGTTTGGTACACAATTTGTGAGATTAAAATGTACCGGGATGATAAATGTTCATTGTGAAACCTAGTTATGATGAAATATGCTGAGGATTTTCTCTGTCAGTGATATAAATACGACCATAGATTATGAGATGGAGTCATATTTTAGGCAGCTATTGACTCAGTTTACACTGGAATTCATTTAATAGGGCACATACCAACAACTGTTCTGTGCTTGTTTATTCTCATTGTCAACAAATCGCATAAAATGACCAAAACCTGCTTTACTAACACGTAGTGTATTCACTTAAAAGCCCGATATACTGTATTGCTCTGTTACATGAACCTCTATTGTTGTACAACACTTCTTAAAAACACATCAATGAGCCATATTGTGTGACTGGGTGACATTTCCATTCATTATGACAAAAACATACACTGTTTAGAGTCAATCGCTCACAGGATGTACTGCTAATGTCAATACTCATTAGACTAGAGCATGCACTGTATCAATGCATTATGTTCTTCGGTTTGACTGAATTACTTAGCATGTTTAGGGATGACATGGTGCTTCTTTTATAAGAATCTCTATGTGGAAGACTTTGCTTCATCTTTTGGGGTTTCTAGTTTTCTGGTCACTGAGTGATAACTGTGAAATATTATTCCTTTACCAAACAGGTCATATTTTCGGTTTATCTTGTTTGACTTGTTGTTGTTTGTCTGTCTAGCAATGATAGAAAAAGCGTTGGAACGATTTTCATTCAAATTGAAGAGTGTAGAACAGGCAAAGGATAAACCTCTTACATTTGGAGTGGATCCTAACGGACAAATACACACATGATATTTCACTTTTGTTCGTATTGTGAAATAAGGAATGGGTTTGCTGGAGGACAGCTCTCTGAGTGCCCTTCTTGTTTATGTTGTTATACATATTAATTATAAAGTCTTAAATAAGATGTTCTTGAGGAAAACTGTCATTGTTACTGTAATATTTATTCTCTGTTATAAAATATAAATGATGCCTGCTTGTGAATAGTAACAATCATTCCTAAGTCAGGTCATTTTCTGTTCCAACGTGCATTTTTGGTTTAAAAAGGATCTTTGTAATCTGCAGTTTTATGTGATTTCATCTCCTAACCTCCCTCATATGAACAGTCACATGCAGAGATTTACATGGTAGCTGGGCATCTGCGTGTGTGTGTGTGTGTGTGTGTGTGTGTGTGTGTGTGTGTGTGTGTGTGTGTGTGTGTGTGTGTGTGTGTGTGTGTGTGTGTGTGTGTGTGTGTGAGCATGTGTGTGCCGCTGGCAGCGCCTGTGTGTCTGCTTTGTGTTAACCACAATACAGAGAAGAGGACAGTGCATAATCACAGGATTGTCTCAAACTGATAGCCTTATCGACCCCTCATGGAGGTTTTACATTACACACACACACACACACACACACACACACACACACACACACACACACACACACACACACACACACACACACACACACACACACACACACACACACACACACACACACACACACACACACACACACACACACACACACACACACACACACACACACACACACACACACACACACACACACACACACACACACTCCAGCGTGCTGTGGAATGAGGATGTCCTAATGCCTTTTGCAGCCTGTGAGGGTAGCACCTCGGGTTGCTAAGGCCTGCAATTTAATCCTGTGTTGCAGAGGACTGCAGCTACTTTTGGATGAATCTATCCGTGTTATTGGATTCAGTCTTTGTATCGCCAAAATGTCAGCCCTCCTCCAGGAGTGAATACAAATCTGCATTGCCTTTTGATTGGGGAGCATTTTTGAGTTGCTTTTTTCTGGAGGGTTTTTGTAGAGAATCTTTATTTTTAATGAGTCCCAAAAGGCTGTAAAGGCTTCTCTTTTTACTTTGGAGCAAGTAAAAAGATAAGACATATTTCTTTAGAGAGTATGTGCTGACGTCACTTGCCGGACAGATTGAGTGGCAAAAGGGGTAAAAAAGCATCCTGCAACATGGCAGCTGTTTAAATGGCAAACTGCGAAACTGTGAGTAAAACAAACTGTTTAAATTAAATGCAGTCCGACTGAAAAGAGATTGGCACAACCGTAAAAAAAAAACGGTCAATGGACACTGATCGGGGATCCTCACATTTCCATGAAACATATCTTAACACAGGTGTTAAACATAAAGCAAAGACGGAAGAAATACTTAAGCCTTGAAGTTTGGATGTACTTTAAGGCAGCATTTGTTTTTTGATTTTTTTGTAGCAAAGACACCAAAGCATATTCTGGTCTTATGTGGACTGGATGTATTTTTTATTTTTAATACAGCACCTTTTTATTTAGAAAACTGTGAGCTAGCTTGCTTTGAAGCAAACACTATACTGTATAGAGCGTGACATGTACACTGAATATAAGTGAAAGAGGATCATTATTTAATTTATGGCTGTCAATACAGTGTGGGAAGATTTTACCCAGAAATCCAGCAGACCTGAAGATAAACAGAAAACGCAAAGCAACGTTTAGTTCTCCCTATTTGGTTGTTTCTGTGAATTGCTTCTCTTTTTACAGCTTTTGAAAATCTATAAGAAAAGAGCTCTATTCATATAGTCAATCCCACAACAACCGACTCTTTCCCATTCTAATATGTGTTATTAAAGCTGAACCCTACAATTGCAATTCATTTGGCGTAGCAGCAGCAATTTTCCTTCAGTCAGACAAACCTTTATTTGAACTTTGAGCCATTACTGAGCCAATACTCACATCCTTCTTCTGAATAACCACTCTGGACATCATTTTACATGACGTCCCTGTATTCATATGATGAATACGGAGCTGTGTGTTTGTTTGTCTGTGTTACTGTATCCAGGAGAAAGAAAAAAACAGAGATAGAAACACTAAAGCAAGCAAGCAATATATCTGCACACCGACGCTCACTGGTTTTTAAAAGTGAGTCAAGGCTTGTTGCTTTGGAAGATTCCACGATATTGTGATGTTCATGTAAAACAAAAAGGACTGGCGCTCTCTTTCTATGTGTGTGTGTGGTCATTGTAGAAGTAACATTTGCTTAAACAGACTTCGATTGCGTTTATTTGTTACACCCACACAAACACACACATTGTCACGATCTTATGAAGGACCCAAATGCAGCACTCGAGAAACCAAGGAGTATTGGTAATGTACTTTATTGGTAATACTACCAGAGCAGAGGAATACCAGCAGAACAGTATCAGCCGGATGATGTGCAGGCCGACGAACCAGAGGACAGCGGGCAGAAGGTGAGTCAGGGCCGGGCAGAGGGTCAGGGAGCAGGCGAGGCGGTCAACGTAGGTACAGGCAGGGTCAGACAGCAGGCAAGGCAGGATAGTCCAGGGACAGGCAGGATCAGGGAACAGGCAGAGCAGGCAGGTCAGGGACAGGCAGGGTCGGAACCGGGTGGGCAATCTGGTGACAAACGCGTGAAAGACTAGCATGAAGACAAAGTACGATCTGGCAATGGGTGTGTGTCTGGTGAGGGTTTAAATACTGGCAGTAAAGCTAATGGGTGCAGAAGAGAAAGAGAGTGAGCAAAAACGTGGGTGTGGTTAACAGGTGAGACAGGTGAATGGAAAACTACTGGTGAATGATGGAGCAGAACTGTGACAGAACCCCCCCCTTAATGGACGGCTCCTGACGTCCCTAAACACTAATCTACAGAGGAGGGTGGGAGGTGGGGTTAGTACTCATCTGAAAAAGTTCTTTCGGCCTCCTTCTCCTGCCCCCTGTGGGAATCGGCGTCCTCATCAGAAGCAGGCCCCTCACTGTCCTCCTCGGAAGAGCTGACAGTATGTGGAGAGACTCTCCTAGTGTCTCTGCCCGTCGATGTGATGGCCTTAGAAGGTTGCTCGGGATTGCGCTGATGGAACTCTCTGATGAGCCGGGGGTCCAACACATGACGAGCTG